AGCAACGAGGCCCCAGCCGGCAGCCCTGCAATGACACCAGGAGGGCTACCAGCGTCCGGGGCTGCTGACCCCAGGGCCATGCTGGGAGAGCACATCTATTAACCGGCCTAATCCTGTCCCTGATGCAACGTGGCAGTGTCACCCCTGGCCATTTCCGACCAGATGCTGGGCCAGCTCCCCAAGGTCAGCAACTGGTTAGTGCAGGGGAGTTTGGAAACAGGCTGTGTGGCCTCAGTACCCTTTTTATCGTCGTTACTTTGTTGCTTTTGTTTTAATTGCTACAAGCATGGAGAGCTCACGCACATGTTCCCTTCCGTTCTGCGGCAATATCCACGGGCCTCTGCCACTCCAGTTTACTCCTGGGGGCTGAGCTCAGTAAAGCAGGGCAGGCCACAGGGACGGGGCCGGGAGCACCTGCACACAGCACAGACTGGAGCCAGCCCCACTGGTGCCAACTCCCCAGCCACACGAGGCAGATACAGACATACTCAAGGGGGCGCCAGAGGGCCAACCGCCTGCAAAGAGCTCAGAAGCAGGCCGGTCCCCAGCAAGTCTGAGCTACCACGGACATCTTAAATAGGAACGAAACCAAGCCCTGAGCCAAAGGAGAATCTGTGTGCTTGAGAAGGGAGGGCAGGCGGGGATGCTGGAGAGACGTGCTGAGGGCACGGCAAGCAGGAGCACGCAAGGGGGACCAAAGAGGACGCTGCGGAGACGTGCTAGTCCCGGCACCTTGGGGGGAGGTCCCCGTCCGCAGCCCAGATGGCGGCTCCATCTAAGTCCGCGCCTCTCGTACTGAGCGGCAGGGTGCATTTGAAGCCACAGGAAATGGGATAGCCTCCTAGAAAGCACATGTTACTCACTGCCAAGTTAATTTACACCTTTCCAAAATGAGAACGCATCTTCTGTCACTGCATCACCCGCTCAGAGGGCTCATGTGCGGGCCTCAGGTGGGAGGGTGGGCATCTGCTGGGAAGCTGGGGCACCAGCTTATTCTCCGGAGCGCACGGGGGGACGCCGCTCCAAGCTGCATGTGGTGAAATAAAGCAGGAAGCACGTCCAGCCCTGCAGGGGTCAGAGGCTACCTAGACAGCCGTCAATAGAGGGCTCCCTGCGCCAACACAGACACACAGCTCCGGTGCAGAGGTCCAGCGACTGAATGAGGAGGGTCAGTGCTCAGGTCAGCAAGTGAATCCACATCTTACACGCGGGGCTTTCAGTCTTTTTTTAAAGCAGAGAAATAGTTTTTCTTAAATCACATAAAAAATCCCAAAATTTTCAGAAAATACACGAAGAGGTTTGCTTTCTTTGAAGGACAGCGGGGAAACCCAACGTCCATTCACCAGACCCAATCCCAGAATCTTGGGTGATCCCGAACACTGAAAAAACCATGCAGATGGCCGGGCAGCAGAGACCAAAACACCTTCCTGGTGCGTTAAAATGCTAAAAAAAAAAAAAAAAAAAAAACCCTTGTATTAAAAAAAAAAAAAAAGACAGGACAAAACCAGTGTTGAGGTTTCTCTGGTTCCCAAATGTGCTGAGAGCAACATGGGCATTCCTAAGCCCGTCCGGGAACTCTTCAAATGTACACTTTTATTTCGTTGAGTAAACGAAGCTACCCCAATATTTTGTCAGAAAACAAACAAGAAACTTCTCCAACAAATGATAAATAAGACAAAGGGCAAGCCCTTAAATGGGAATCTCGAAGAAAGTAGAGTCTATAAACAAATGAGAATATTTTCAGCACTATCACTCAGCGTGGAGTCCTACAGTTGGAACACAGCACTGCACAAATACCATGGCCGTCAGGACCGAGTGCATTTCCTTTCATGCACACACAGGGATTTAAAAGCGTGCTTGACCGTTATTTCTCCAAGGAAAGATGACTTGACAAAATGCTCGTGTTCAGCAAATCAGGACTTAGCAAATGATCCCAATTACCACCAGCGAACGGCAAGAGACAACCAAGTCTGAGAAACAGAATGCGTGTGCAACTCGGAGAGAACCGCGCAGAACAAATCCTCTGGAGGAAGGCCCCCCGGCCCCCCGCCTCACCAGCTACCCCGGGGTGCCCCTCCTGGGGGGGCCGCGCAGACAAGGAAGTGAAAGACTGCGCCAGGGGACGAAGCACTTGGGTGCTGGTTCATCGTTTACTCCTCGAAATTCATAACAAACATCCCCACAGAGTAAAGCCGGGCTATGAGGTCAATTTCATGTTTCAAGCAAATAAATTTTCCTCCAAAAGATATAAATAAGATGGGAAGGGCTAGCCCAGAAGATGAATACCAACACTTAAGGAAAAAATCCTAGCAAGCAAGAGAAAAGACTGGCTTAAGAAAAGCCATGCCAGCTTAGCAATGTACTTGACTGGTTTTAAATGAAAAACACGATGTCCCGTGTAGAGTTGGCTGTGAGCATGTGGTCTTGCTGGTCACTAGCTATTTTTTTAAAAGTCACATTTTTAAATGTTTTCCAAGTCCAGTGACCCTCAGGAAATTGGTGAAATGAGCACGGTCTTCACTAGGGACAGTCAACAAGCATTAACAGGAAAGCCGGGGCTATTCTGTCCGGTCCTGAGGAACTAAACAGACCATGAGATATCCATATATCCACACTGATAATGCAACTCACTGATAATGCACGTTGGTTGGACAGCTGTGCAGTACTTAAACCACTGGTTTATTTGCTTAACCCAAAGCATCCCACTTTGATTGCAATCTTAGCTTCCTAACCAGTTGGCCTGGTCAAATGCAAGCAGCCTATGGGAGCAATAAACAGAAATTTCCACGAAGGGAAAGACAGAAGATGGTGCGTCTGCTGATCACAAAGTTCCTGCTCATGGGGCCCACGAATCAGACCATGAGGATGTGACTAACTGCGCTGAGAAATGAAAGCAGAATGCTTCCATAAGCCACCTGGGCAACTGAACTGTGTTATTACAAACAGGGCGATGGATGAGATGACCACCATTTCTCATTCGGAATGGAACCCACAGTACAGGGTGCGCTTTTCTTGGCTACTGGGCAAACACACTAACCAGATAAACTTCGGTACATTCTTCCCTGTAAGAGAACTTCCAAGTTGTGTTAGTGATCATTCACACATTAAAGAAAAGCCTCCCTGTAATACACTTCCAACAGTTCCCTAGCATTCACATTGGTTTAAAAGATGCCTATAAAGACAAAGTCATATGCTCATGTAGGAAAATCACTTAATCTCTATCCCTAGCACCAAGGTTAATGGTCCAAGTTCTAAGTGTAAATGACCTACAACCTGGGAAAGAGTCTATGAAACTTACAAAAATACTAAACATTGCAGCATAAAATACTGAACGCTGAGTTCAAAATCTCAAGAACAGATAACACGTGGGTAACAATTCACTTAGGACCCTAGAAAATGTTGGATTTGCTACAATGATCTTGTTCTCTATCCAGGGGCCAATTATTCACTCCAGGGACAAAATGAGAACTCTTGATTCCGAGCCAACGTCCCCTCGCGACATATTCTGTCTGCAGCCGGGTGTGCTGATCCAAGCAAAGACAATAGGGGAGCTCCACCTGTCTCACACACTTACGATCTGAGGAGGTAGGTGTTAGGTGCGAGGTTACACATGCCGCCTCCTTCAAACAAAGCTAGCGCTTATCTTAAACAAAGGACGTATGCACACAAAGGGTAATGGAGGAGCCCTTTGCTGGCTACCAGAAGGCTGAACTGAAAAGTCCGGATTCCCATACGGGGCAGCAACCTCCAGAGGGAATGTGGTATTGCTACACATTGCACACGGACCAAGATGCCGAAGGCCCCACTGGACTAATTCGTCTCCGCCACTCTTGAGATCTTTCAGTTTCTCAACACCTCAGTCGTTTCCAGTGGATTTTGGCCTAGATGAAATGTATGCCTTAGCAACCTAAAGATTCCGTAGAAACCCGTCAATGGTACTTGAGGGGACATTCTCTCATCTAGACACATAAGATGTGTTCTGAGACTTGGAAGCAGGTATCAACAAGGATGTTCTTTCACCTCCTGTTCCAGATTCCTGTGAAAAGGCATTCTCAGATCAGAGGGCTTTGTTCTTGAGAGGGCACCCAGTCCGACTTACAGGGGACAGTCCAGCGACAAAGCCACTGACCCTGCTAGAGGTGAAGGACCAGCACAGTTTAGAGGCTAGGTGTGTACTGGGACAGGTAAGCCATTCGCACAGCAAGGACACGACCTGGATCACAGTATCACCACCCAGAGCTCAACGAAGTGCTCCAAGGTAGAGCTCAATGTCATCTTTGGCTGAGTTACTGCTGGTAGGGGGTTGCTTCCCCCAAAGTGAATCTGGACTCCACACACCATGTGTTCCTAAGAGCCTAACTATAAGTCAGCCAAACAAATCAGATTAGGGTGACAACAGGTGAGTGGGCTAAGTGGACAGTGTTAGGACTGTGACTTTAAGAGTAAGCTATGAATGCGGTGGCACAAGGCGATGATTAAGAACACCAGCTGCTCAAAGAGGAGCTTGGGGAAAAGGCTTGCTTGTCTGCGGATCCCAGTACATTACCGTGAATTGTCTGCACGGGCTGGAAGTGGGGGCCCCCCAGGCCCGAGAGCCACTATGGGTGGCCTGACCGCACATGGCCCCTCTCCTCCCCATCTCTTCTGTCTGGAAAGGCTTCCTTTCCACAACCCAAGGGTAGTGCCGAGTCACTGCCAAGATGCCCGAGCAGCATGATGTTCAGCTGTGATCTGAGGCCACCACTCTGGCAATGCTGACCGCGGTGGGGGCCAGGAACAGCGCAGGGACACTTTACCTCCCCTGTCCTGCTACTGGAAGATTCAAAAACTCCATCTCCCCAAATCACTAGTTACTAACATTGGAGATATTAAGCGAGCACAACCCGAGTCTCAGTTCATCTGGTTGGAGGGCTCGCTGTAATTCTGGGGGTGGCCTCGCGCCCCCCGGAACTCCAGAGACAGGAAGAGGCATCTGCAGTCAAAGAAACACCACACACAGCTTTAAACCAACTTTGTGATTTTTATTGATGGGCGACAACTTCTGTACTCCTAGAGATCACTAAACTGTGTACAATTAGAGACGCAGCGTTATAGAAGAGCAGACAGCAGAATTAAACAGAGCGACTTAGGGAAGTATCAATCTTCATTATTTTGCCCATTGTTCATTACGTGTACACAGAAGCATGAATGCAATTTGAAATCTTTTAATAGCAATAAAGTTTACAATCACCCATCTATGTGGACTAACATCTTAACTCCAAATATCTGATCTGCATTGTGTACGTAAGCAGCTTCTCATCGCACAATTATTAAAATGTATTTTTCCTGTTAGGAACCAGCAACTTATTTTTTGTATTTACGTTTCTTTTGAAGAACTATTTCTTCTCTGATAACTGGCTCATTTTTATTGTTTATCAAAAACTAAAGGGTGGGAAGGAAAGTGTGATGGATTAAAAAATTTATTTTTTTAAGGAAAGATAAAATTCATTTTCACAAATTTACAAGTGTTGCTGGTGCAGGATTTATTCTACTAAGCAATTAGAATGGGAATCAAATGCAAGTCCCCCTTCTTACTCAGGAATCAGCATTATTTCAGAAACATGGGTTTTGTGTATTTTCTTAAATCAAGCGAGTCTGTTTGAACCGAATGATTTTGATTTGGAAGGCAGACGTCAACGCGAACTCTTGCGCACAAACCCCGAGGCGTCTGCTTTCCATTCTAGCCCATTTCTGCAAAGGAGGAAGAGTTTCTCTCTAGAGAGCCGCTAAAGAGAGGGAGGAAGTCAGAGGGAGTCGGTGTCTGCAAGCGGGCGTCGGGCACACAGCGCGCAGGCGGCTACAGCAGGTCCACACGGCGGTAATATAGGAGGTAGGCTGTGCGCTCCGCAGTGGGCTTCACCACCTGGTACTGGTTGATCACCTTGACCGCCTGGTCATCGATGCGCAGCCAGCCGTTGAGGCCGATCTGGAAGACATCCGTGGTGTAGTGGCCGCCCGTCGCACTGCTGCCGTGGTGGTAGACCACTGCAAGAGAGGCCCACGGGCGCCCCGGTGAGAGAACCGCTCCCCAGCAGCCGAGGGCGCCCGCCTGACGCCCCCCCAAGGCCACTCCATGGGACACCCCTCACCGAGGCAGGCGGGACACAGAGACGTACGTCACTACACAAAGCTATGTCACATAATCAAAAACTCCGCACGATCTACAAGATAAAGCCACACGCATGTATGTCAATGATGTTTTAAAAATGTTTAATGCCTCACAAACACAAGAGACGCCAGCTCGGTGGGGCTGTCCCACCATTTCGTGTCCACTGCTGATGAGAGCACACAGGGACAGAGCGCGAAAGGCCCCCCAGCCCCCACCGAGCCGCCAGCACCACACACCGACCAAGCCCCAGAAACCCAAAACGCTCGTGCCCTCGATCTAGCCAATCCTACTTCTGGACGGCTCTAAAGAGAGCATCTGAATCTCGGACAAAGAGGTCATAATGGTGAAAAAACAGAGAAACCTAAATACTTGAACTAGAAGGAATAATTAGCGGATTTTATCACAATAAGATGGACAGAGAGAGGGACTGGGGACATAGGAGTATGCCTGTGGAAAAAAACAATGAAAAACCGAGAACCCCAGCATTTCTGTGACTGTCGTTACGGTGAGTGGACCGCACCGTCTCGGGAGGGACAGCAGGGCTGTGACGTGGGCAGCCCCACCAACACGGCACTAGTCATCACCCTTTTTCCTTTTAAAAAACGTTCTAATTTTCTCTGTCTTAACAAATAATGCCAAAATAATAATAAAAAATACCAGTTTTTATGTATTTAAAAAAAAATTCTGTAATTCAATCAAGAAGCTTTAGTCAAAGGCCTAACACACAACCACTGGAAGCTGCAGTCGAGTCACCTAAAGACGCCAAAGGCTGCATCCCCCCCTCCATGAGGAGGGGCGCCGAGGGGCCCAGGCAGCAGTCAGGAGCCTGGGTGAGGGAAACATCCGGGGGGCCAGCAATGTGGCCGGGCGAGCTGGGTGCTACCACCAGGGGCAAAAAGGACAGGCACGTGGCGAGGCACAGTACTTAGGTGGTGGGAACATCACTGGGCTCTGGTGGCCGTGGTCACTCCTCAGGAGGACCCAGCTAGCTCCAGGCCTGTGGCCACCGCTGGTGGGAGGACAGCCCCTCTGGCAAAGCAGCCTCTGGGGGCTCAGAGGACGCCACGGCTCTAGCCCTGGGCATCCCCGTGACAAACACGACTGGCCACCCGAGGGCGGAAGACTGCAGGCCAACCAGGCAGGAAACCAGCAGCAAGACCAGCACAGGCGCTGCTGGTCACAGTGATCAAACAGCCATCAAGGGCGTGGAGGAGGCTCGACACGAGCAGTCCCCCTGACCCCAAATCTGCTTTAGGGCTTTCGTTCTGAATTTTCCCAAGACCTACGTGACTTGGGCAAGAGTTATATAAAGTGACCGATCAGTGGGATTTAAAGGACCTGTGGTTTAACTCATCTGTATCTCCTTCCAGACACTTCCATTCGAAAACCTCCAGAGCAGGCACGGCACACGGCTGGGGTCTCGGAAGCGGCAGCCCAGTGACCAGGAAGGTGCACCAGGACTGCAGGTGAGCCCCTGACTGAAGGGGCCTGGGCAGCACCGTACTCATTTGCTCTCTCGGTCCCGCAGTCAAAATCATTTGCACCAAGTGCTTCCTTACCCACATTTTACAGAAAATTCCAATCAATTGAATCCAGTGCCCTTATTTCTGAGATCAGAAGCTGTGAGAGGAGGAATCAGGAATGCAAGCGACAGCCCCAGTTCAGATGCTGGGCCACGGCTGGCAGGCGGAACAGGACCACACTGGGGCTCCTTGAGCAGGAGACAGGGGATTCCTGCACCTCGCCCCGGATCATCAGCCTTCCCTGGCAATGGCCTCGAGGGGCAGAGCAGCAGGGAGGCAGCAAAGCAGCACTTCATTTCCCCCTGGGACCTCGGTGCCAAGCTCCCTGAGTGGGCCAGACCCTAGGGCTCCTCCGGCCCCCCCAGAGGCAGTCTGCAGAGCCTGAGCGCCAGCCAACGTGGCACGGCTTCCATGACAAGGCAGGGCAAGGGAAGGGCTGGAGACACCGCAGGAGTGGGTGGCCACCCTGTCAGGGGAGGACCCATGATCAGCTGCCTTGGGGGAGAAGACAAAATCAAGGGCAGAGCTGCAGGAAGAAAGACCTGACCGGGCCAAACCCCTCCCAGTGCAGCAGACACCTCACCCACTGATCAGGGCCCAACCCAACTTCCTAAACACGCAGGAGGGACCGGCGGTTGCAGGGTGAAGCCCGGCCATGCCACCGTGGATCAGAGCGGAGAGTGTGTCTCTCAGAATTTGGGTTTCTTGTTTTGGAAGATGGGGACACCACCACACATCTCCCAGGATAGCTGCGAGGAATAAATGAGATACTACAAAAAAAGGTACCTAGTAGCAGAAAGGTTCAATAAAAGTGTGAGGGTCAATGAACGGTCATGTTATTTTAAATTACAAACAGGCTCACCAAAGGCAGCACAAAAGGAAGGATAACAAAGCAGTTAGAAAATTCTAATAAAAAAGGCCAGAAAGCACACGCAGTTGTTGCAAACGGTGACTACCAAAAGAGACATAAAGCCTCAAAGGCCCAGAGGAGTCAGGCTATAAAAGAGGAAGGAAGGCAGAAGGAAGGACACAAGGTGCCACAGGAAGCGCTGGGGAGGAGGTAAGAGGTCTCAGGGTCCCCAGTTCTGGGGCTGGGGTTGCCATCGCCCCCCTCGGAGGGCTCTGAGCCGGAGTGTGGCAGCCCAGGAGCCCGGGCGAGCCAGCGCAGTGCGGGAGATCATCCGGCGGAGCATCCGTGTGGGACCCGCTCTCCTGACCTAACCAGGCCGCTGCACGGTACCGCCCCGACAGGCAGCACCCCCCCAGGCACCGCGACTGCCGCGGCAAAGGTCGCACCCTCAAACTGCCAGCCCGGTGGCCTCACACTTGCCCCTCTGATTCAAAGACAGATACGATGCTAAACGAGGACTGGATTCACTTAGAGCCAAAAGGATATTCTGTCGAATTTCAAGCACCGGATGTCAGGACAAACACACATTTTCAAAAGATGTATGGACTTAGCGAGCCCCATGGGGACAGCAGTAGAGAAGTCTATTCTCTGTGTTAGGTGGTATTATAGCAAAACTGTGCCTGGGCATAAGCCCTTTTATCACTGCTTTAGTAAGGAAATAAGAGACAAATTTACTTACCTGCAAACAGCCTATAGGTTCTGTGGCATTTAAAATTCTTATTTTTAACCCCTGGAGAAAGCAGTTCTGAAAAACAAAATACCAACAGCTGCAGTCTATAAAAGCACTTGAAGAAAGGCTCAGAGTGACAGAAGCAGAGGTGACAACAGTCCCCACTCACATGCACCACCCGGCAGACCAGGAAAACAAAACCCACGGCCTCCCCTCGTGTACGCAGGCCCTGCCCTTGGGGGGCCGGCTGGGCAGTGCAGCCACGCACGTCCCCAGCAACCAGTGGGGAAGAAAGAGAAGAAATACACTGAGCCCACTGAGCTCATGCTAGAAGCCCCTTAGAAGCAGATATTCTCAACTGGAAAAGAATAACGCTGCCCACTCTGCAACAAAACAAAATAGCCCCAGGAAACCTAAGAACTGAAATATTTTATACGTGAGTCAGACCACAAAACTTCCACTGTGTGAGAGTCAGATGGTCTCTCCAAAGAGGCACTGGCCCACCAGCTGGGCAAGCGGGCAGCCCTATCCTCGGGGCCCCGGGGCGCCCTGAAGGAGGAGCACACCTGCAGACGGACCCCTGTCACCGCCGTTACCACCAGCCCCTCTCATCCCCCACCCACGACCCACACCAGGGCCTCTGGTTCTCCCTCAGCTCATTTCTCTTTCTAGAAAGCATTTGAAGAGGCAGCTGATATAAAAACACACATAACCAGCAAGAACAGATCTGTAAGTAAAATCCGTGTAGTCAGTCCAAACAGGACATGAGGGAAGATGCAAGAGCGTCGGGCACAGGATGCCCGCTGGGCTGGATGCGTGCTCCCCATTCCCTGACAGACAAGGCAAAACAGCAGACGACTCAGTGTGTGGCTCTCAGCTGGCACTGCTTCCCCTTCCTGGTTCTCAAACGGGATCAGGAAAACACGCTGCCTACGAACGAAGCAGCTCCACGAGTGAGGGTAGGAGGGACAGTAGCCCGGCCCAGGGGGTCGGAGCCGCCAGCTGCAGACCGGCTGCGGAAATGCAGCGTCCCTGCCTGGGCTCAGGTGAGGCCGGCTAGCCCCAGTTCTAGAGTCACTGGGCCCGGGAAGGAGTGGAGCGTGGTCGTGCTGTGCGGTGGGGATGGGAGGGGTGGGGAAGGCGACAGCTTCCTTCCTCTGCAAAACCCAGGGATGACGTCCCACAACCTCTTGCCCGTTTTCCACACTCCTCGCTATTTTGAGATCTGCCTCCAGCTTGTTCCCAATCAAGCCCAGGACTGCACGGCACCTTTTTCACAAATCCCGAAGCTTTCAAGGAAAGTTTTCCTTCAAGCTGCGCTTTTACCAAGACAATCTGAACTTGGTGCTCTGGTCAAAAGGCGTCGAGGCTGCTGAGCCCCGGGTACCTGTAGAGACTTGTGGCTGACCGAATGCCACAGACCTGACCCTGTGTCACTGCAACGAGAGGCTGGGAGGAACCCCCAGGGGCCTATGGGCAGCGTTCTCTCACTTCACTGAAAAAGCTTATTTCACCAGGCTTGGCGGGAGGTGTTAATACTTAGTATAAAGAAAATGATTTTGTACCACTAATCCATAAAATGTTTCTAAAAAATGATGCTCATTTTGACGGACAAAATCTCTACTTTTCTAATCTAGTAAGATTATGTGGCTTATTCATTTTTGCCTTTATTTTTCAAGCGCTACTTTGGTGCCAATTTTAATACAGAGGTCTGTTATAAACCAAGAAACGAAAACCAGAAAGCCCTAAAAGAGAACTTCCTTACTCTCGACATTATACAGAAACACTAAGTGCCAAGTCCACGGGTTCCCGGGACAACTGTCACCATGAGTGCCTTCGCCCTGCATGTCTGTTACCTTTACTGATTTCCAAGTCCACAGGATATTCAATGTTTTTGATGAGCTTCTGGCATCCACCAGTCTTCTCGTAAACAAACCGTTTGAGGTGCAGCACCAGCACGGGGGGCAGCTTCTCCAGAGTCACTCTGCGACTTATCTCCACCTGAGGCACAAAGCAGAGCAGGCCCCACGGCGCCTTACTCCACGCGGCAGCAGACGCATGTCCGTCACACGAGGACCCTCTCTGAGAGCACTGCTCAATCCTTGCTGGGTCGAGGGAGCTCCTGAAAACCTAACATGCTGCTAAGAGGCCTTCTGAAAGCGACTCACATTCCTCTTAGAAAAAGGCAAACATCCCTTTAAACACAACTGCAGATGACCCCATGGATCCCTGAGCCCCTGTGTGAACTCCACATTAAGAACCTTTGCTCTGTGACATTCATGACGAACTGGCACAAAAATTAAAAAGCTAAGTTAGCAGCAGTACTTTACATTATGTATGTACTAACACGCTTTTTAGTAAGTCCCGTAGCATTAATCAAACTGAGGCCAGAGTGTTTCTCAACTTAAGTGTTCTTTTTTTTTTTTTTTTTTTTTTATTTGACAGAGACATAGCGAGAGAGGGAACACAAGCAGGGGGAGTGGGAGAGGGAGAAGCAGGCT